TTTTAGAGACCATTTTCGGAGACAGGTGTTTCGTTGACAGAATGACTAGCAGGTGTACTTGTAGCTGTCGCTTTACCTGTCACAAATCTTAGTTAGTATCCTTGATTTGTCCGTGTCAGTTTTTTTGTCATCATGTATGTCATCAAAGTGGTATATTTCATCTCTCATTACACCAAACACACTCACTCATTCACTCACATCTAAGCCAAAGTTAATCATGTCAATCGTTTTTAAGAAAACATTTCAGGTGTAACATAGAGTCCACTAATGTCAGGTTCAGTTTGAAGCTGGACATAGTAAGGTGGACGCATTGGACTCTAACTTGTCAATTGAGGCTCGCATGTTATCCCCTTTACTTGCATTGCATATTAAAGTATGTATAGGTCAGGAATGTGGTGAATATATTAACAATGAACTGTGTCCAGGTTACTCACGAGACATTTACAGGTACATGGTATTTTATGGAAATAGCGAGACTATATTGATAATATATACCAAAGTATTGTGGCCGATGTGTTGAGTTTCCAGAATAAATAGGGGTATTATTTTGTAGAATTAGACGCATCATGGTTGAAAACATACCTAGCCACACTGAAAATGTTCAAAGTGTGCATAACTATTAAGGTACAGACAAAATATGGACTTTTAAAAAGAAAATTGGCATACATGTTGCATTTTCGGTGTCTCGCGTGTTTTCTTCTTGGTTAACCCAAGGCAACTGACCATGCACCTGTCTGTGCTTGTATCACCATTTAAACACTTTTATACCTGTTATCTATCCACTAATGAGTAATGGAACAGCGACAGTGTTTGACGCTGCCCATGCTATCGATCAGTGGAATGTACCCGGGTATTTGCATATCGTCGTCATGGAGCATGAATATTGCTGACTACCAAACCAACCAAAAAAACAGAACAAATTATTTGGGGGTAATTACCAACTTGCTGCGCTAGGTTTGATTGAAAGGTCTACATGATTAATTCATTCACTCATTGAAATACAACATACAACACGTGCCAAGTTTCAATTTCTTGGGAACTTTGGTTCATTAGAATAAAAGTCTTTATAATTTATCATTTTTTTTTAAATTATTAGATTATGTTTTCTAATTCTACCAACGAATCCCAAATAGTATGATAATGCTTGACATTTTTCTTAATTTTTTGGATCATCTCCAGTTCAGCTATTTAATGATTAAAATCATGATCATAATTGGTAGGTTTTTTAACTTTAGGGTCAGGGCATATGTGAGAAAGATACAAAGAAATAATCCAACGTATTGTGTTTTTCTTGTTGGGCGGTACCATGTCTACACAAGTATTCATGAACACGACCAAACTACTCCTAGTGTAACAAAGAGTCTTTACAGCGAGGCAAAAAATTAAATCATTGAGCACTGGACAGATATCGGGACACTATAGATGTCTTTGTGGAAAGTTTTAATACTGCTTAGAGGTTGCCACGTTACACGGTTCACCCCGTGGTATTATCAAACTAAGGCCTACATCGTTTGTTCTACTCCTATAAATTTCAATTGTTGGACTAAAGTTTTGTGGCATAGGTCATTTGAAGTGCATCTCCCAAATATCAAACTGGCTCTGTAATGCTCTGTGTCACGTACGCAGTGTCTATGTTTAAGATAGTTTTTGAAATTGTAATTGACGTGATGCAGGGTATATTGCACAGACACCAATACACTTTGATTGTTTATGTCACAAAGCAAATAATATGAATATACATTTGGAGACATTGATTAATAAATATAATTTTCAATTGAAGAACGTAAATATGCTCCTTTTATTCATTTCGATTTGTCTCAAATGATACATTATTGTTATAATAATAGCAACGGTTAAATATGTGAGTTTTATTGACATTATTTATGTGTACCATAGAGGCAGATCTGCGTTATCCTAAACGTGGAGACCGAATGAAAGTTGCTTTTAACCATATATATTTCGTAAAAAGATATGCTCGCTAAATAATACTAAGATACTATTATGTGCCTTTCGCTTATGTTATTATATTTTGATGTTGTGTTTATGTGATTTGATTAAAGCTGTTTAAAGCCAGGTGATTACCCAACGAATAATTATGACCTATGAGTAACAAATGCCCTATGCAGGTGACATTGAACATCTCGGGAATATCATATTTGGTATATCTTCTCTAAAGCCCAAGGTTGATCTTAAGATATATTTCAATAAAAGCGAGAAAAAATATTTCCATAATCATAAATTATATACATTGGCAATGCCAGGGAATAACCAGTCTAAATTAACCGCCAAAACATTCCTTTTGACACCAGACATCTCTGCTTAAAGTTCTTTGTACGATTTCGACTATAACCTAAGCATGCGTATGAATCACCTTCCAATAGTGATGAAAAGGTGAACGTATCCTGTCCCAATGAAGGCACCGTCACAAACACATGCGAATGCAAGCCGAAATAGACTTGTGCTGCTGGAACATTGCACGCCATGAAGAGAAAGTTGACCATTGAAAAGATGAAGACATCCCTTTGTCGTACAGTCATGTGGAGAGTTTTGTTATATAGATAAAACAGGTTTCGTTCTATTGGTCTCCTATAATGCTAGTTGGGGTTGGTAAATCAGCACAAAGGAATTGACCATTATTGAACCATTGATACACCTGACGCATATGTTAAATTCCTTGTTTTAGTTTGTAAAATCCGAGCAGAAGTACCATATGCATAAAGGAACAGATGAGCAAGAATGGGATCACAATTGGTGCCCATGGGAATACCTACACATTGCCTTAAAGTCCAAGTGTTGCACAAAGAGGAAGTCGAGCATTTCACGTATTGTTTTATGCAGTACATTTCAGAGGGAATTTGCTTTACATTTTGACAAATTGTCCTGAACCTCTGAAGATAATGATGTAACTCTATCTGTGTCCAGCATATTAAGTAACATGCCCCATGGATCTCGGACTGCATTAATTCCGTTGTGTGAGAGAGTGGTATACAAATTTGAAAATCAAATGTTTTGACATAACTGAACTTGGTTCCTTTCTGAGATTGCCAAAAAACATGCAAAGGCTCTGGGTATTTGTGAACAATATACATTCCGCTTGTTTTAAATACTTTCTGTGAATGAAAAGAAAGCACTTCCTTGACTGTCACAGGGATTGTGGTTAATCTTTGGGACATTGATTTGATTGTACGTTTGCTGGACCATCTAATACATCTGTCTTTGTACGGAGTTTTATGGAGCCTTGGAATCCAGTACAAAAGAGGAATAGACATGTCTTCAGGTTTTTGTGTCAAGCCAAATAATGATAGAACTGATGTATGTTTTTGGCAGAACAGGTTGGAGGCTGCTGACGATATGTTGGTCCATATTTGAAAAATGGACGAAGGTATTTTTGTCAACAATGAAATAGTGTTCCTGCAGGAAAATGAAACTGTTGGTGGTTCCTGAAATTTGAGACATTGTGGGATATTTTGGGAAAATAATCTTTCTGTGTACATGAAGTTAAGGCATCGATTCCCTTGGTTTTTTTTGAAATTTCAAATTAAGGAACGCCTGGTTTTTGTTTTAATTAGTGAAGTCTGTTTCTCGTTCGGCCAAACGTTTTCAGGAAATATCAAGGACTATACGCTCTTGTCGATACTGTGGTCTATTGTGTTTAAACCCATCCATCAGCAAACTGTGGTCCTGTGTATGATTCCGGCTTTTTCATAAGCATGTGTTTATGAATCACTATCAAATCACTAGATAATAGCGTTATCGTTTTGTTTTGAAAAAGAGACACATAAGCAAAAAAAGCAAACTTGTTTAAGTAACTGAAAATGAAAAATGAAAAATAGTATAACAAATCTGACTTAAACAGACACTTTTTGTCGAAAATTTAAAGATAGTGTGTTATGCTGAAATAACTTTGCATTAGGGCAGCTAGGCGAACATTGATATCGCAACTGATATCATGGGAGTATTGCGAAATGTGTTGTACATCAGTTTTAAGTAATCATCACATTTATCAACTATATCGTTGCTATTCATAGATGCCTCCAGTAGTCCACGTGACCCAAATCCAACGTAGATTATATCGCAGACGTATTTGTTAATTTATTAAAGCGAAATTATAACTTAAATTCACTCATCATTAATGAGAGATAATTTTATTCCTTTCTTAATATATTGATAATATTTTCCTTGCTAAGCGAATATGAACACCCTTAGGAAGTGATATTTTAATAGCTTGTATTGCTGATGCCAGCACGCCATGCAAACTTGCATTTTACTGTCATATTCCAGTACGTATAGCATGTGTCACCAAAGAAAGACGTTGTTATTATCGAGTGATAAGTTATGATTTATTCGAAGAGTGGGACCTTTGCAGTATTTCGAAATGTTTCATATCACGTAAATATGTAGTTACAAAGCAGGTTTTTGCAATTATGTCCGGTTTGGTACTTCAAATGAATACACACACACGCACGTGCTTTGTCACTTTTTCCACTCTTCAAGGAAACCTATTTTCCTGCAGCAGTATCGGATCTGGCATGTGTTGTTTATAGTTCCATTTCTGCCCTGGTTTGCGGGTATCAGAACATAACGTGCATTGGTTATCATGTCGGGGTTGGCAACACCTAGTTTAAACAAAAGTGAAATATTTTTGAAAGTAAGAGAAAGATGTATTCAAATTAACTTGTAGCCTTATACGTACAGGGCAGTCACGATGCATTATACATTTGAATATACAGAGAGGTAATCTGATCAATGCGTTTCCTTACTCATTTCTGAGACTATTTCTTGTGATCTCCTTGTTGACAGTAAGTATCTTATGTGCAACATATTACATACTGGTTACGATTGATCTACTTTTTTAAGATAAGAAGTTACAGTAAATCTACATGTCAGGCGCATATAAGTCATGGAAAGGAATGTTGAAAATAGCAAGCTGTAACAAGTTTAGTATAAAGTCAAAGTTTTTTTCTTTTGTCTCCCCTCTTATTCTCCACACTCACCCGTCGCCAATACGCATGCATGACGCTGGTCTCCAAGACTACATCATGGTATAAATGGACAAAGGCGCAGTAGACATTACAGAGCGGTCAGAGAAGGGAAACAACATGCAGCTGTTCAGAGTTCCACCCTATTTACCTTTACTGGGTAAGTTGGCAATCATGAAAGTCATTTCCTTTTTTAATGTGTAATGATTATTCTAACGCTTAATACAAGGAAGTAATGTGGAGAACAATTGCATAAACGATTCGTTAAATAATGTGCATTTAAGACTAAAATTTTCTACTGGTAGAAATGTAAATTGTGAAATATTTCTTCTTTAACTTAAATAACAACTGTATACAATGTGACAGTTTCATATGAACATGCAAATACACTAATATAGGAAACGTCACACATGATCTCTTGTCTTTGTGTAAACATGCTGGACAGTTTACATGGCGTCTATGAAGCATTCACGACTGACGATACAAATTGTAAATTTATTTATTCTTACATTTAGAAACAAATTAATTAGCAACAATGTTAAACATAATAAAACAATAGAAATACATGAAATTTCACACTTTATGCTTTTTCGTAGTTTTAACATGCTGGGCAGTTCTCCAAGGCGTCTCTGGGTCGTGCTCGGCTGACAGTGATTGCCATCCAGGCACATGCGACACAGGCACCAGCACCAGCACATGTGACTGTACCGGTACTGGGTTTGATGGTGACAACTGTGAAACTGGTAAATATGTTTCCAGTAGTTAATTCTACTTAGAAATGTCCACCCATTTATTCAACATAAATAATCTTTTACTGTTAGCTAGAAATGTAAACATGGGATTGAAGATAACGACGTGCATATGATATGCCGAATCTTTGTGCCAGTGATACATATTGGTACATAGAGATTACTAAACGTTATCCGATGGAATAAAACATGTATCTTTCACGAACGTTGTACTTATAGTAAATGTAGCTGTGTGCAGTTATACGTCAATAAAAGACACAACTGATGACATAATGGTGTATGAAAACATACTACCTGATGTTTGTGCGCTGAAACATGTAGGTTAATATAACTGTTGTCCTTCCCAAAAGTTTCGTAAACGTCCAAAGCTCGTTATCACACAAATTAAAACAATCTGTCGACAAAATAAAAACATTGCCATAATTCTACTTTCAAGGCGTGTTGGTTAAAAGGGAGGCTACTCTCGTTTCAAAACATGATGGTCTGGTTCGAACGTTCTGGGTTAAATGAGGTTGTTGCACATTCTCCAATTGTGTGGCATGGTAGTCAGCAATTACGGGATCTCTGAATATAAACATGTTCCGAATTTTGAAATGATTTCAGTGTAGTCAGGTTGATGAACATCAGCACATACTATTGATCGTGTACTAAATTGTTTTAAGGGCTTGACAAATATTCGTGTGTGTTTGTAGCGTTAGAACAAGGGCCAATGTTTAAAGCAAGTTTTTGTGACCGTGATACGTGTATTTGAAAAGCATGTGTCAGTGCTTCATCGATGAATCGTTCGTGCCAAACAGAAGTGTACTGATATCGAGAGCACATCATTCGACTCGGTACACATATATCAGATACCAAAGTGTTGTGTGAAGATGTGTGATAAGTGGTGTTATAGACCATGATATGCTGTGTTGCCACAAGAGTACGATTTATAGTCGGCTGACAATGTTTCCTACTAATTTAAGTTTGAAGATCGGAAAATGCCACGCCACGCCACGCCACGCCACGCCACGCCACACCACACCACGCCACACCACCACGCCACGCCACGCCACGCCACGCCACACCACACCACACATACATGTTTCGAATCTTTTGCGATAATCAAATGGCTATACCTTTGCGTTTGAAATACATTTGTTTACGTTTTTCAAGGAGATGATTCATACAATATGTTTCCATAAACCTAAAAATGTTCCCAGCTCCGCACCCCCAACCCTAGACTTGTATATATCCCTGTGCAGATTCAGAGTTATCACATGTATGTATATCCTGGGGAAGCATATGTATTAATTCTTAAACAATGGCTCCTTTATCTTTGACAATGTATTAACTAACTGATTTTTAGCTTAACACAACTTGTCACTGACGGAACCTCTTTATCTCACTTATTGTACCTCGTTGATAGAAACATTTCACGATGACGTGACTGTGTTGCTATAGGGAGTCGAACTCAATAAGTCTGTACCGATGGCTAACAAACGTAGTTTTCTGCCTTGGTGACATGGACGACAATATTTACTTACATCGAGAAAAATAGTTAATTCGTTTTTAAACAAACATACTTGTGATTTTTTCGGTATGTTATTCTGTAAATTAAGTGTGCACGTGATTTGGTAGCTTCTACTTACAAATAATACTTTCTTGATCAATGCAAAGGGTGCTCATAACAGTCCCATCACCATGGGCTAATAATGTTGTTGTGATTTATAAATGTGCTCGAGTTGGGTCCTTGTGCTTTAACCTATAGTTGAAAGATGGATGTCCTTATAATTGAATGCGGAACCTGTAACCATACCATAAGAACCATAACCGTCCCATAAGAATATCACAAGTGTTATTTCATTCTATTCCAGAACACGATTACCAACATGCCATGCTTTCCCGATTTATTTACAAATTTAGCCGTGTACAATTGAGGATATTGAGAAATGACACGTATTGAGTGTGCGTTTCAAGAAATAAAGTTCCGAAACTAAAAGTCGATAGTTAACAGTATGACTTAACTCATAACAGTATTTGCTAGCTCCAGCCATTGACGCAAGGGCCCTGATAGTGTAACGTGTATTAATACAAGACTGAGAATTCAACTTATTCTTATAAGAAAGGAGTCTTATCATTATCTTAGCCAAACATATTCATCTATTGTGTATAAGTATTAGAAGTGGGCACTTCCTCCTCTTGACAACACCACCACCTACTCCCCAACCACCACCGCCACCACCCCACCCTTCAACATCACCCGCTGAAGTTAGCCAATTGGTATCTACACTGTCAAAAGTGTTTAACCCGACTTTGACGATACTTTATACGCGTTTTGATGCCTCGATATTTTTTTGTTATTCTGAACATGTTCAGAAGTGTTTTGAGTACAAACGTTATGAATTCAAAAAAATTACACTCCGAACAATTTACTTGATTTATGTTGCTGAGGCATGGTCACAATTGGAACATACCAAGGGCTTCCATGTCAAGAACATTTCTACAATCGTTGCTTGGCTCTTGCATACTTCTGTATGTATTAGTGAAACAATATTCAGATAATTTAACTATTTAATGCCTAAATGTGTTGGACTGGGAGATATTATCCAAAAAAAAGGGATGATATGGTATTCCACAACGATCGACACTTCTCTTCTGACTAATGATAAATTGCATTATCATATAAAGTATTTCTTGATAGTTTGATATAATTATCATTGAGACTGTAAATCTACTGTAAGCGTGCGTATCTCGTACAGACACGCGAAGGGAGTTTAAGGAATACATATCCCACATCATCCATATTCCACACTTTTTATCAACATGTTTATGTTCAAAATATATTGAGTTTGTCGGGTTGTGATGCAGGCATTTGTTGTAGATCATAAATGTGTTGAGTTGCTTTTAACTTAAACTTATATCTGAAGCACCTTCGTAGCTAAATCTTTCTAGCAGCCTTTTATACATAAACACATTATTACAGTGTATTAATGTGATAACATCTTATGGACACGACCCCTTGCTCTTTGGTTATGTGTATGACACATTAAGTGTAAACATTTTGGAAGCTGAAAAGGTTTTTAGAATATATGGATGCCAGAAACCTGTGATCGTGGGGTCAAATTCGCCCTCATTACGTATATTTATCCTATACCAGGTTAGGATATTGTGAAAAATTGATCAAAGCACTGATAAGTCACTCGCACTCACCTGATGTACTTCACTGCTGCATTTTAAAACCCTTGTTTTAGAGTTGGAATAGTTTCATGTCAATAGCACAAAATGTGAATTAGAGGGTACAATGAGATGAAAGCATTACATATCGTTTTCATATCTTATAAACCTTTACTCATTTCAGACCCGTGAAGATTCCGGGATGGAATAGGTCTTCAGCAACCGACGCTTGCCGTAAAAGGCGACTATGCTTGTCGTAAAAGGCGACTAACGGGATCGGGTGGTCAGGCTCACTGACTTGGTTGATGCACGTCATTGCGTGGATCGATGCTCATGATATTAATCACTGGATTGTCTGGTCCAGACTCGATTTTTTACGCACCGCCGTCATATAGCTGGAATATTGCTTTGTGCGGCGTAAAACAACAAACAAAAGGTAATAAACCTGCAGAGTTCACTTTTGTCATTATTTATTTTTTTTGTACACTGAGAATTTTTTTTTTTTAAATTGGAACTACGGTATACACATTTGGTGTGTTCTGTCTAAACACGTTTAGGGTCTACACACATGAAATAAGATATCGTCTCACAGCCAAATCACAACCTAAACACAACATCCCGATAAAACAGATTCACAGGACTTACAACGAACTTGGTACAACATTATCATGAATATGTACAAATAAACCCGCTAAATGTGACTAGGTCGACATAGCACAGGCGGTAGCGGGGCGGACTACAAATCAAAAGGTTGTAGCTAGGTTTGAATCGTTTGAATTGACGCGACCAGGGATCAAATCCCTGACGTTCAGCTCTCTGGCCACCTAGTTAAATAGGTACCAACTAATTAGTAAAGTCTACTAAATTGTTAGTTTCTGTGTGGACAATGAATTTCACTTAGTTAGTAAATTTTACAAAGTGTTTTCTGTCAGTGTAGGTATCGATGAATGCACTGCTGATGCGGATAACTGTCACACTAACGCTGACAGCACACGCATGATTGGCACTTTTACCTTTCAATGGAAGGCTTGCTATGTTTGGGACGGGGGTAAATGCAAGTGGTATTTAACCTACGCTTGACCTACCTTTGTTTTTTCGCATAATCCACTTCAAATATCCTATACACGTATTTTGTTTCTCTATTTTGGTAGATATCGATGAATGCACTGATGGTACAGATAACTGCCATGAAAACGCTGACTGCACAGACACGGAAGGCTCCTTCACCTGTACATGCAAGGCTGACCATGTTGGGGACGGAGTGGAATGCGAACGTAACTACATGTTGCAAATGCATTCATTACAAAATGGCAGTAGCCAAAAGCTATGTTGAACTTTCGATGCCTTTACCATCATTGGCGTATGTCGAATGCATTCTCATTTGATTGCTTGTGATGCCATGCCATCTGTTAATCTGAAGACACATGCTTTTTGTTGATAATCATATCACTGCACAGGAATTTTTTTGAGTGGTGTCAAGGGCAGATATCTTACATACAGTTTTGATAACATCTAGGTTACATTTGATTGAGAAATTGAAACGTAAACGAAGGATACTGTATAAGTCATAATATTATAATATATGTATTCACATCACTGCAAATAAAATATTTAGGTCTTTCTCCAACTCGGTAGGTAGGATATGCTTATTCAACATGCAACATAGTGCGTGCTTGGTCCAAGGCGTGACCGCCTCCGTGGTCCGTGCTTGGGGTATTCACATGAACCTGCTGCATGGTACCTCAGTGGGCTAGCACTATAAAATGGGCATTAGTCCGGACTAATACAAGCAGCAACACACACACACACACACACACACACACACAAACAAACATGTCGCTAAATAAATGCAATAATCTTAAACGCGACGTTCAACCCAATTTCACCTCACCCCCAAGGTGAATATAAGCAAGTGTGGTATTATATCGTTCAGTTCAACTTTTGGTGCAGCTCTGTCACTTACAGTTACGTAGAGTACGAGGCCACAATATGGCCACATGTCAGCTGACATTGCAGTGTTTGTTGAAAGGTGGCCTGCTTTAACCTCTGTAACACAAGATCTGTATTAGATGTTTTTTTACCTCTTGTTGAAGTAATGTTAGAATACTTGGATCCATCATGACGCATCCTGAGCTTCCACCCATAATTTTCAGTCCATATCCATATAGGAACATGATTCCGCGTGTTACAGTAATGGCTGTGGATCACTGACGTCCCCGACGTTTGAATGCAGACGGTGTCGCTTTCACAAAGTAGCATATTTGCACGTTGGGCAATCTGATATGCTTCACGTCGTATGTTCATCCACAATGTATTGCATGCGTTGTAACATTCTGTCTTTCCGTATGCTGAAGTATAGATTACGCCTGCAAAAACTGGCAGTAATATGAACCTGCATTTCTTTCATGTCAATTATGTTGTTCCCACTTAATGCCCAGTCTGCAACTCACTAGATGTGAACACCGGCCGTTTATGGGGAAAGGGATTATGCTTATACATTACATTTCATCTTAGGGGTCTGTTTTTACCATTTTCATCTTCATCATCCCTACCTTTTGCGATATTGGCAATATTGTACCACAGCATATTTTATGCCCCGAAGTATATTTTGTTGACAATCAATTTAAAAAAAAACACACAAATAAACAACCGATTGTCTTTCATGGTTGTCTGACGTGACATTGTTCTGAAAGAAGGTCAAATATGGGTCAAGTGTGTTTTGTTCTATATTATTTTAGGTACTGTTTGTACAGCGGATGGCAACGAGTGCTTAAATGGCGGTACTTGTAATATCCCTTCGGGTGGTACAGCTGGTACATGTTCATGTGAAAGTGGATACAGTGGTCCTCTTTGTGCAGATGGTAGGTACATTCATCCAATTTGGTTATTGCAGATAAAGGTATTGCTCGTATGTCCAGGTCACTGCATATTATTGCCATATTTGTTGTTTTTCAGGGTGGCACCATATTAGGTATTGTGTAATTTTGGCGCGGCTAGAAATGATACATGGTGAAATCTGTTATGGCCCTTTGTAGTCTGACCTCAAATTATTTTGCAATAGTGTCTGGAAATGACCATTCTTCAAAACTTTATTTAAGCAAAATATTTAAGCACATGTGTATCACATGGGAATGAATTTCAGTGTTGTTGCCTCATGATTTGTTAAATGTACAAACTGCTGCTGAACTCGAAACCAGACAAAAAAAAATTCAAATCAACCTAATTGTCCAAAGCATTTAGTGGACGGTGGGGTAGCTTTGTGTTAAAGCGTTCGCTCGTCACGCAGAAGACCCGAGTTCGATACCCCACATGGGTACAATGTGTGAAGCCCATTTCTGGTGTCACCCGCCGTGATATTGCTGGAATAGTGCTTAAGACGGCGTAAAAATATACCCATTCACCCCAACGTAATTTTGTACAATGGCTAAAACATTTTCACACTGCCTCATAGCAACGTTAAGAATAGGTACATATCAACACTGACGCTGTAAATTGTTAATCATATCATCACTAACTGTTGAATAAACAACATATGAGTAATCAGCCAAGAAAGATTGTGTAAATTCTGCACTACGGATATTTGTACGTTTGAATTGAGTTGACAGTTTTAGAAGGAAATAACAAAGAATAATGTGCTGAACTAATATCATCTGTGATGTGATGTGTGGGGCATTAAGACCAACTACATCGGTTTACTCAAAAAAGCAGGTTATTGAGGTTCAAACCTTTGGAACACTGAGGGAATGCAAAATGTTAAACTTATTGAGAAACACGTCTTCAGATGAAGATAAAGATTTCAAAGTGCGTCCTACGACTATTGCTCAGAGGGTGTTTCATCAAAGCTGCAACATGCAAGGCCCCAGTTAAGCTTTTAGAAGGTTTTATGGTAGACATGTTGAGGGCTTTTTAACATTGGACGCATCAATGACAAAAATTATGTCCGATGCATTTCCCTATTTTGACCTGTACCATATGTTCCTGTTTTATTTCATGTGAACATTTGACTTGCCTTTGCATGTGCTCGTGAGCTGTGTAATTTATAGCATTTGATATGTTTACAATATATATAGTGTTTTTAGATCAATGGTGTTCCGAAAATTGAAAGTTGAAGAAAAATCGCCATGCGTTATACCACACCACACCACACCACACCACACCACACCACACCACACAACACAACATGTTTAGCTACAGCAACCCATTGTTCAGTGGTGTCAAGGGCAGATATCTTACATAACATCTTGGTATTATTTGATTGAGACATTGACAACATAACCATATTCTTTTTGAGTCCTAAGGTTTTTGTGTTAGTCAATATGCTAAATAATTTAACAGAGGCGTAAACAAAGGTTGTTGAATAAATTACAATATAATAATATAAACTAGATACAATATTATTTAACACTTCATGACTTTATCACATCAATACATGCTATTTATTTCCTCAGAAAACAAAAGGCCAAGAAAGTTAAAACTGTTTCAAAATGATAATTGTAGAGCAAATTATATTCCATCTTCAGAGAACGCCTTAGTTGATTAAGTCGATTATTTTGGAAAATCACAGCAAATGTTTCTATCATTTTCGCTATGTTGAACTTTCGATGGCTTGAGCATTATTGACGTTTGTCGAATGCAATCTCATTTGATTGCATGTGACGCCATTCCATCTGTTAATCTGAAGACACATCATTTTTGTTGATAATCATATCACTGCAAAGGAAAATATTTGAGTGGTGTCAAGGTCAGACATCCTACACTAAAGTTATGACATTTGCCTGAGAAATTGAAACATAGACGTAAAGAAAGCATGTTGGATAAATTGAAATATTATAATATAAATTATATTTAACATACTTTACTATTTACTGACAAGGTTGTCACATATGTAAGACATGTCTCATAGTATATTATCTCCTGCTTTTGTCAGAAATGTTCACCATCATTTAACGGCTCTATATGACAAATCTGAGTTTCATGAAAAAGCTACTCACAACTGTGACACGAAGGTGTACTATAAATAATTTGTGCTCTCAGTTACCCGTTTTATGGCTTCCTTTTCTTCGTTGATGCATATAACTCAGGTGCCTCAGATGAGAATTTGGAGACTTTTAGCCAGAGAGACTAAACACACCCATTTAGATAATACTAGTATATGTAATTCAGTTAATTGTTGTCCCTCCAATTCGATTTGCCTTAGGAAGAAGTTATTTTGACAAACTACTCCTACTTCATATCAATTTGCTGGCACATTATCATGAAGCTCGGTTTTAAACAACAATCAATTGCAAACAAAACATATCAATAATATATTATAATCGTTTCATCTTTTTCAATTATTATGGCCCTGTGTCACTGACATATTATTAATGAAATAGGCATAACACTGACATAAATGTCCTGTATTTCAGCCTCTGGTGCTGCTACGGTATCGGTGCACTTCCTTCTGCTCATAGTTGTTGCTGTCCTCGCAACGCTGTGCCTCAACTGAATACAAACAGGACCAGAATACGACTAATAGAGTGTAGTAGATGTGTTTAATTTTCCAACAAAACTTCATAGACGTGGATACTTCATTTCGTTTAATGTTGTGATTGATTAATTGTGCTTACGAGACTCGCACTAAATCTGGTTATAGTAACATCATTCAATATTTTCAACAATAGATTGTCGTTTTATTGGTGACATGTGTGAAATGTTACATCCTGATTAGAAATTTAACAGTGTGAATAATCGAACAAATACTCCAAAATTTGAAAAAAATTAAACCCCAGCATAATTCCTAGAAAGGAACATGTCCACGTGTGTTATTCGGACTTGCATTTCAGTGATTTTGATTTCGTCTGTTTCACGCCAATGTAATTCCCTCATTGTTGATAAGAAGACAAAATTCGTCCCTGGTTACTTTTAGGCCATTGATGACATGTTACTGATGACGTGGAACTCTCCCCCAGTGACCACCGACACAGAGTAAATGTTATCTACTTCTTATCTACAGTGACAGTGACCGATTGTTACCTACCCACCCAAAGGACCTTTTATGATGTATAATCTGATTAATAGTTTATAATAAAATAAAATACATGCATTTAATTTCAAGCGTAATTGTTGTTTGTTTGATGGATAGTTTCACAATGTGAGGATATATGTGCCAGAAGGTAACGACAATGTGATGATTTTATATTAAAGTGACAAGAACACCTTATCAATGCATTCAAGTTACAACTAAAGCCCCGCATGCGTAATGTGGTGGAAGAGCGTCTGCCCGGAGGGCGGAACATCGTGGGTTCGATCCCCGGTCGCGTCATACCTAAAGACGTTAAAAAATGGTACTTGCTGTTACCATGCCTAGCGCTCAGCATCAGAGGCTAAAACAAGGACTGGTCAGCTCGGAGTCAGTTTTCGGTGTCTGAGTGGGATTCATGTTAAACCCTGCCATGGTATCTCAGAGTGTTAGTACTATTCTTACTAGTATAGGTACTAGTATGAGTAGCCACACACACAATCTTGAACGCGACGTTTTGGGGGATCTATTGGAAAAAAACCTTTGTAAAACATGTTACAAAATGTTACAAAGTACATATTTACACCCAAAACAAGCCATCTGTGATTCTATTGTTGTCTCAAAAGCAACACACAACTACCCTGATACCCTCAACAAGCGCGTGTGCATATTGAAATCCCAGCCAGAGGCTGTCTACTGTGCATTTATTAACACGCCAATAAAGTGTTTTTCCGTCATTCTCGGGGTATTGAAGACGCGAAATAGGGAATTGTGTTGCGTAGGGGTGTACTAATACACCAAACAAAAGTACCTAGTATCATTTCTTGAAATTTCCAAGCGAAAAGGATGATTAAGCTAGGAGGAAAGTTTGATTTTCTGCAGGAAAAGCCTCGCTTATTTCATTCACAAAATATGCAGGATAAAGTTTTCCCCTATTTAGGACCTTCTGTATGCACGTTATCCGTAAGCCCTGAGTTAAATGAGTCGATATTTCTTTTTTTAAAGAACATAAAATAGGTTAATACCATGTACTTTATATACGACCCGTGGAGATCCGGGGTAGAAGAGGTCATCAGCAACCGACGCTTGCCGTAAAAGGTGACTATGCTTGTCGTAAGAGGCGACAAACGGGATCGAGTGGTAATGCTGACTTGGTTGATGCACGTCATCGTATTCCAATTGCGTGGATCGATGCTCATGATATCAATCACTGTATTGTCAGGTCCAGACTCGATGATTTACATACAACCGTTATATAGCTGGAATATTGCTTGAGTGCAGCGTTAAACAACATAGAAACAAACACACAAACTTTATATACACCTTACATACTATACTACATAGTATAGTCCATGATATAATTATGGATGTTATTGGACTCGACGAGTAGAGTCACTGTGCAGAGTCTAGTAAGCTAAATGCCAGCCACTAATATCCCTCTATTGACCAGTGAAGTGAATATTATGACAACTGTTTAAACGGAAGTATAAACTGATCAACCATCACTAGACAATACAACTAACAGGTGAGGTGAGGTGAAATGGGGTTTAACGTGCGTCCAAGATTATTGCACTTATATAGCGACGTGCATGTACGTGTGTATGTTTGTGTGGCTGCTTGTACTAGTCCGGACTGATGCCGATTTATAGTGCTAGCTCACTGAGATACCATGCCGCAGTTTAACATGAATACCCCACTCAGACACAGTATACTGACTCCGAGCCGACCAGTCCTTGTTTTAGCCCCTTAATGCCGAGCGCCAGACAGGGTAACAACAAGTACCATCTTTTAACGTCTTTTGGTATGACGCGGCCGGGGATCGAACCCCGGACCTTCCGCTCTCCGGGCGGACGCTCTACCACTAGACCACGGAGGCGGTCTACAACTAACACATAAGATTCCCTTATACAAAAAACAAATTTAGCTTCAGCCCTATGCTAATTGTTTGGAAAAACGACAACACAGTGAACACTGTTTTTGCAATGGTAAATGTCAATCTACATCTGGTACATTTTACACAAAAATAACTGTCTCGCTTGTTTTTAATTAATAAATATCCATTTTATCTAGACATGTCAGGATAGCGTTTAACTCAGGATTGTGTTCCCTAGTCTTTCTGTGTTCACATCAGATTGATCGTCTTCACTTGGTAGATCTTCCTCGCTTTCCTCGCTACTGTCAATACTACTTTGACTAACCTTTCGCTCATATTGATATTGACGAAAATATGTAAGGTCACTGAGCGAAAACTCAACTCGATGGCATTATCTGGTGATAATGGCTAGTAATCTACCAAATCAACTGTCCCCCATGACGTCAGGTCACGTGATGAAAACTCATTAACTCTAAGTAGTTCGGGAATACGAGTTGCTTTTTAATGATTTTTGTCAACAATATTGCCTTTTAGAATGTGTTCTTTCAAGAAGCCAGTTTTAGTATGCTTTATGCATTTTTAATTCCACATTTATAGTTTACTGTACATCTCCTTTAAATCCCATGTCATCGCCTATAATTAAAAACAATTTGTAAATATATTCAGCAAAGCAACAACAATTTTAACTGCTTAAATTTCATAATCTAGACTATCTTGCAGTTCCTCAGCTTCCTGCACATCCCAGTAGGATTTACATTATGTTTTGGCTACTGGTGGTTGTGGACAAATCTATTTACTATTAAGAACTGCTCATTGGTTGATGATAGTTACACGGATTATTATATGATCACGTTTTGGGATTGCAATCTGTGTCACCAAATGGATCGATTGCTCAGCCTCGATGATTTAGATGATTATGTGTCATTGTACGCGGCGGATGTTGCCTACAACATCAATCACTGGTTTGTCTGATGATAATGCTATCGTATAATAGCTGGAATATTGCTGAGTGTGGATTACAACAACAAACTACAACCATTGAATGTGATAGGAATTGTATTGATTCCCTTCAAAGTGACAGAAGGGAAAAGGAAAAAAATAATTCCGATTTCTTCTTCATAATAAGAGTCCCTGGCAAATGCCATGCCCATACAGCCACGAATCTGATTTACAATGAACCTTTCATCACTTCTTGTTGGCTTCTGATCACACATGAAACACAGAGTGCCCAGGACAAGGGGAAGTAATCCTGTAGCGATTGTATGAAGCGCTCGTACAATACTCATGACTGTGGATTTCAGCACACTGCAACAAGGCTTTATCTTCATGAGCAAACCGATTATGATCAACACGTCAACATAAAATGTCCTCCTCGTATCGTGACTGACAACATAAGCTGGTATAATCGATTATTTGTTTAAATTCATAAAGTTTATTGATGCTGACTTATCTCTTTTGCATACTATCTTAGATATAACTGTTGCTCCTTGTGTTTGGTTTATATTCGTGTCAAGTAAATATATGTACGATTAAAGATTTATTATTCTAAAATGACCCCGATGTATGTGTACATTTCTTTGCGCCTTTAGCACAGGGGTCAATGCAGAGCACTCTGTCAAAACGTTACTGATGCTACATTGTACACAATATATAATCGATGAACCTATTTTAATGAGTGACTGCTGCCAATTTTAAAGACAAAATGCAACGGGTAAATCATTACATCAAGTCTTTAACAGCATACTGGTGACACAGATGTAAATCGTTCATGTTCATCGGGGGATGTGTAACCTGCAAGTGAGGTGAGGTGAAATGGGGTTTAACGTCGCGTTCGAGATTATTACACTTATATACCGACGTGCGTGCACATAGTATACTGACTCCGAGCCGACCAGTCCTTGTTTTAGCCCCGTAATGCCGAGTGCCAGACAGGGTAACAACAAGTATGTCTTTTGGTATGACGCTGCCGGGGATCGAACCCCGGACCTTCTGCTGTCCGGTCTACCACTAGACCACGGAGGATGTTGCCTGCAAGTGAGATTAAGGGAGAGATAGCGAAATGTTTTTGTTTGTCAGGCCAGCTGACTTGGTTGGTTGATGCATCTCATCGTATCCCACTATATTCCAGCTATTTGATGGGGGTCTGTAAATAATTAATCTGGACAAGACAATCCAGTGATTGACATCATGAGCATCGATCCACGCAATTGAGATCGATGACATGCATCAACCAAGTCAGCGAGCCTGACCGCCCGATCCCTTTCCACCGTCATATAACTGGATTGCGTTGGTAAATAACAAACAAACACATCTAAACTGAAAAGAGACGACAACACGTGTACACGTATTATAATTCAGGGATCGGTCGTCCTCTAAAGCACCGCCTTAAGATGACACTAGACACACACATTATTTCTAAAGATCACCACAACAGAAGCAAAGTTGTTCAATAAAATCTACGAAAGCAAAATTTACAAGTACCTAGTCTTCAAATGAAAAGGGTATTACGTTTCAAATAGATAACATTGTTTAGTCGGGATACCCCCCCCCCCCCCCCCCCCCCCCACCGAAACCCCCCCCCCCCCCCCCGGGATACCCCCCGCACCCACCCCCCACCCCCCACCCCCCAAGCCCCAACCCCCAACCCAACACACACCCGACCCGACTCCAGTTAACGTTATCAATATCCATGGGTGTACTCGTTATCGAATAACCTCCCAGATACGAACCTATGTGACGCTACCCAAAGGCAATTGATCCCTCCTGATATAAGGTTGTGCTTGGGTAACGTGACCCATTCCATATGCATACAACATTAGTTAAGACGATCTTCCGTGTGGATTTCACCTGTCACAAGATTGCACATTAAACAGGTTTTCACGATTATTTTGTTTTGATTTGTGTGATTTGGGATTAACGCTATGGACGCTTAAAGCCGAAAGAAAGACTGTAGTAACGCAGGCCGTCAATATTTGTCATATCGGTGAATCAACGTTTTGTTTTTCACTGGTAATAGTCCGACAGTGTTATGGACACCATTTTAAGGAATTAAACATTGCTATAAACTGTATAACAACATGGGTGTGGAGATTAAGCAAGTGCAACACGTTCAATAGATTACCAGGTGTTCTTTACTCATAGTACAGTTCTACCACATTCTCACTTTTTGTTAGAGGGGCGGTCGGGTAGCCCAGTTAAAGCGTTCGCTCGTCA